GGAAGGGTTTGGTGGGTCTGGTTTTTTCCAGCCTTGATAATTCCAGGATTCTGTGGGGTTTGAGAGTAGAGGAAATGTTGATGTGAGTCTGGAATTATTTCATCACAGCACACACACACACAAAAAAAAAACCCAATAAAAAACAAAGCAAATCAAACCAAACCAAACAAAAAAAAAATTAAAAAAAACCCCAAACCAAACAAAAAACCAAAAAACCAAAAAAGCAAAAAAAACCCCAAACCAAATCAAACCAAATCAAACAAAAAAAAATTTAAAAAAACCCCAAACCAAATCAAACTAAATCAAACAAAAAAAAATTTAAAAAAACCCAAACCAAACAAAAAACCAAAAAAACAAAAAAACAAAAAAAAACCCAAATCAAACCAAACAAAAAAAAAAAGAAAAAAACCCAAACCAAACAAAAAAAAACCCCAAACCTAAATTTAAATTTGGGATTATTCACCTCTATCTATTCATATTTTTGGATCTTTGCTCTCTGAGCATGTTAGGGCTGGAAAAGCCATCCCATAATGTGTGCAGGGATCAGGATTCCCTGGGGATGGGTTTGCTCCAGGGAATTCCCAACCTCCAGGCAGGGCTGGAATCCTGCACAGCCAGGACAGGACCAGGGGAGCTCGGGATCAGGTGTGGGATCAGATTTGGGATCAGGTGTGGGATCAGGTGTGGGATCAGATTTGGGATCAGATTTGGGATCAGGTGTGGGATCAGATTTGGGATCAGGTGTGGGATCAGATTTGGGATCAGGTGTTGGGATCAGGTGTTGGGATCAGATTTGGGATCAGGTGTGGGATCAGGTGTGGGATCAGATTTGGGATCAGGTGTGGGATCAGATTTGGGATCAGATTTGGGATCAGATTTGGGATCAGATTTGGGATCAGATTTGGGATCAGGTGTGGGATCAGGTGTTGGGATCAGGTGTTGGGATCAGATTTGGGATCAGGTGTGGGATCAGATTTGGGATCAGGTGTGGGATCAGATTTGGGATCAGGTGCTGGGATCAGATTTAGGGATCAGATTTGGGATCAGGTGTTGGGATCAGGTGTTGGATCAGGTGTTGGGATCAGATTTGGGATCAGATTTGGGATCAGGTGTGGGATCAGGTGCTGGGATCAGATTTGGGATCAGGTGTTGG